AATAAGTACATAATACATATACATATATCAACCTGACCGTAACTTGTATTATCCTGTAATTACATTTTCGATTTTTATTTGACGCAAAAGATCTTTATTTTGGCTTAATTTCCTAACATACATATCTCACATATTAATTTTCTGGCCATGTATTTAGCCTGAATATACATGTGTATAAGATTTCATCAGGTTTCATAAAAATTCAGTTCAGTAAAGTGTATCTCAATGACGAAATTCAGCTCATTCATATTACTAATTTGCAAAAACAAAATAAATAAATGACTTGGCATTTATTTTGTACGTACGACTCGAATATTCTATGAACATCAAACATTTTTTACTTTTATCAGTTTCACAACTGTCTAATTTTACTATCACCATGACACTGCATAAAACAATTTCAAAACAATGAGAGCCGGCTCACTATGATGGGGGTACACGTCAGGCAAATCTTCAAGCCAAAAACAAATCGAGTAAACTGTTGCGAACTGAGAGCTGAGAGAGCTTTAGTCACCTCTCCATATTCCAGAATGTTCGCAGCTCTGAGAAAACCCCAAACATAACAATGTGAAGAAGAAGCAGAAGCATAGGAAACCAACGGCAAGTTACTCATTTGTACATAATCCAACGATTCAATGAAAAGCATTAACAATGATTTGGGCTTTTACGCATCGATCTCTGACGAAGGAAATGAATGAAGAGAAAGGTCGTGGCGTCTATGAGCTATAAGCTTATTCATTCGTATGAATGTCCGAAGAACCAGTTTGCCTACTCCAACGACGCATGCGTCATGGAACCCTCTCATAAAAGATCTCCCAGCGGCGCAGAGAGCTTTGGCATTACTTAAGAGAAGAGCAGCTGAATGTGAAGAGATTAATTGTAAGAGAGGCAATAAATAATAGTTTGAAATAAATTCAATTTATATACATATTTATATACCCTGTTTGTACGAAGCTGATTGAGAGTAGCCTGACACAAAAAGCTGAGTACGAAGTATTTAAGATCTGTATACGTAGAACGAGCGGATGATAAATTAAGAGCAAAGATTAAATTGTGTATACATATATGTATTTTCATTCTCTTTTTGTATACATAGTAGATACAATGATTAAGCTCTGAATATATTTACAGGGTACATTTTAGCTATACACACAACATAGAGTTGTTTGGAAAGATTAAATAACACATGCATGCAGAACTTGGTAACTAAAAACCAAACTTGGTATGAACAGAATTCTAATGAATTAGGCGAAAGATCCTAATATGAAAATAAAAATTCGCACCATCACAAAAAAAAATAATTTTATATGATATTATAATGAATAACGAGTTGACAATTTAATTTTGGTTTATTATAGCAGTATTACTGCTGCTTGTTTTAAGTTCGAATATTTTCAAATATGTTATATTGCTTCAAAAAACAAATTCAGCAATTCCGAAACCATTAGAAAAAGTCGAATGCTGGATTATAAAATTTGATGAGTTTCTGATGGTTAGTGTACAAAATATGTCTACTTATACCAACTCAGAAATTCTAATGAAGCTTCTCTAGTTACAAATGCTCTCCGCATACACACAAGATATTATACAGTTGTTTCTTTCTGAGTATACTGAAAGGGCGTCAGTAGAGGTACTCTATAATACACGATAAGAAAGACGATACAAAGGTATATGTATTTGTATACACATTAGTCCAGACACTCTCGTATTTCCTAATAGAAGCATATAAAAGTCAGTGGGGGATCGCTTGTCAAACAGATCGGACTGAAAGGTAACTACGCAATGGACTTTTATTATTTGCCAGCTTCAGCTCCCTGTCGTGCCGTTCTCATGGTGGCCAGGGCCGTGGGTGTTGAGTTGAATAAAAAGCTGCTGAACACCTTGGCAGGTGAACAACTAACGCCCGAATTCGTGAAGATCAATCCACAGCATACGATTCCCACTCTGGTGGACAATGGCTTCTCCATCTGGGAGTCGCGTGCCATTCTCGTCTATCTCGTGGAGCAGTACGGCAAGGACGACTCACTCTATCCCAAGGATCCACAGAAGCGAGCACTGATCAATCAGCGCCTCTACTTCGACATGGGCACACTGATACACAGCTTTGCAGACTATTACTATCCGCAGTTCCTTCAAAACGCGCCTGCAGATCCAGCCAAGTTCGCTAAGATGGAAACAGCATTTGACTTTCTCAATACATTCCTAGAAGGTCAGAAATTTGTGGCTGGCGATACTTTGACTGTGGCCGACTTTTCCATTGTGGCCACAGTTTCCACATTTGTTGCGGCTGACTTTGATATTACCAAATACCCAAATGTGACCCGTTGGTATGAGGCCGTTCAGAAGGTAATACCCGGTTGGGATGAGGGCTTGGATGCGATGAAAGAATGGCTCGCAGAGAAGCGCAAAGAAAATGCAACTAAGTAAAACAAAAGGAATCTGTAAATTATTAAACAGATTCAATTATAATATTTTACATTAAATAAAGATTACAGAAATTATGCAATAGGCTGTAGCCGACTGCATAATACTCGTTCATAGCTAATAAACTGTTAAAGTTTATTTGTAATTGTGATTTTAGTTGATCTGTAGAACTCGAGAGTTCAAGCTGTAAAGCTTTTTAAGTGCGCAAGATGCCACGCCCCTTATAACTTAACTTTTTAAAAGATAACATACGAATATAATTATCAATTAGTTCGATATATTTTGCTATCTTATATATATATATATATATATATATATATATATATATATATATATATATATATATATATATATATAAGATAGCAAAAAGATATTAAGATACAGCAAAGATTTCATAAAATCAATATATAAAACTACTTCAGCATGTTAAGAAGAAAAGCTTCCTGAATTTTTCTATTCGAGCATTTCACTGCAAGTCACAAGCGTTCACGATTGATCAAATTATGAGTGCCAATGATAATGCGCCGCGATGACATTCTGATTGCCGTCGATAATACCCCACAGGGTTTTCCAGAACAATATGCCATTGATAAGTAATTTTTATCAAGCATGAAAGCAAAGAGGAATTGGGTTGCGATAACATTCACATACTTATGGCTTATCTGAGCTTTTACTACTCATATAATAGCCAGAGCAGAAAGTGAGCGAATTCAGTAGTCGCTCGCACATTGAAGGCGTCGGACACGAGAACTCAGATAGTGGAAATGGACTTTTATTACTCACCTGGCTCGGCCCCGTGCCGCTCCGTTCTTATGACAGCTGCCGCTTTGGGCATTAAGCTGAACAAGAAGTTGCTCAACACTGGCGAAAAGGAGCAGTTGAAACCGGAATTCATCAAGCTGAATCCCCAGCATACGATCCCAACGCTCGTCGATAATGGCTTCGCCATCTGGGAGTCGCGTGCCATTCTGATTTACCTGGTGGAGAAATATGGCAAAGACGATTCGCTCTATCCCAAGGATCCACAGCAAAAGGCGCTAGTGAACCAGCGCCTATACTTTGATATGGGTGTGCTTTACCAGGCCTTCGCCGATTATTACTATCCACAGTTTCGTTTCAACAAGCCCGCTGATCCCGAGATCTTCAAGAAAGTCGAGGCTGCCTTTGCATTCCTGAACACCTTTCTGGAAGGTGAGCAATATGTTGCCGGTAGTCGGCTGACCATCGCCGATATTTCCATCTTATCCTCTGTATCGACCATTGTGACAGTGGGCTTCCCACTGGCCAACTATCCGAACGTGGCTAACTGGTACGAACGTGTCCAAAAAGAGACGCCCGGCTGGGCTGAGAATGTGGAAGGCTTGGAGAAGCTCAAAGAGCGCATTGCTGGAATACGCAAGCAGTAAATTTATCGCAATCGCAATCCATATCGTATAACCAATATTTATAATTTCACTAAACAATAAGTTCGCAGAAAATATTGAATAAACTATATATATATTTATGTATGTATATTCACGGCTAGTTGAACTAAGTGTATTTATTTATTTACCGAACAATCACAGAAATTAAGCATGTCAATAATTACCGGCGAGCGAGAGATAGCAAAAAGCTTCGAAGTGCTCACAAACATGCATATATACATATGTATATGTATATTTGTATTTCTATGCGAATATCTGTGCATATGCACAGATGTGCATATATATGTACATACATACATACAGCTGTATTTAACTATGAACTTCGCTGCTTCAGCTTTTGTGTATTCAGCTTATTTGCTTGGCATGGTTTCTATGTATGTATGTTTGTATATATAGGCATATATTCTTATATTTCTGTACACATACATACGAGCATATGTACATATGTTTGTGCAAATCGAGCTTATTTGACGCGGCGCTGAAAATACCTTATGTGTTGACTTTTTAAATGTTCTTTTTAACCTGTTGCATGCAGCTCGTAAGTTTAGCGAACTCGGGCAGCTTTCATGCTTCGCTTAAGCTTTTTTAAAGCTCTCCTTTGCAATTTTTATAGCTTTAATGATTATCATGAATAAGTGAATTTTGAATTGAAATTTCATAGTTTGCTAACATTCATGGCTCAATTTATTAAATTAACACTATTATATTTTTATATTTTTGAATAAAGAAGACAATTAATAAAGAAATATTATCATTGTATTATTAATTTCGAATGCATGAGATATATGTAGATATAACCGCATGAATAAATATTGTTTCTATGCTCATTTTCTGAGCTAAATGAGCATATTGGTTTTGTTACCGTAAAAATTTATATATTTTTTGGATAGATATTATATCAAGATTTCCATATTAAATTATCTTTACATATCAGCTTTAGCACACGCCTTAATATTTTGTAGCCTCTTGAGGCGCGAACGAGTATGACACATTCAGTTGGTTCTAATTTATTATATATTCGCATATATATAACCTCCATAGCAAAATGAATGTAACAGTGACAAACCAAACATGATAAACGATTGAAAAAGTACTTAAGAGATAATATTCTATAAACTATTGCCATAAAAGCAGTTACTATCGCGTGCTCAAAATCAGTTTGCGCTTAACATTCGACAGCAGAGTACAATCAATACCCAATTACAAAATGGATTTCTATTATATGCCCGGCTCCACAACCTGCCGATCAGTGATCATGACGGCGAAAGCTCTGGGCGTCCAACTGAACAAGAAAATTGTGAATACCCTGCAGAAAGAACAATTGAAACCAGAATTTCTGAAGATCAACCCGCAGCAAACGATTCCAACGATCGTGGATAATGGCTTCGCACTGTGGGAGTCGCATGCCATTCTGATCTACCTGGTTGAGAAGTACGGCAAGGACGACTCGCTCTATCCCAAGGATCCCAAGCAACAGGCTATAGTCAATCAGCGCCTATACTTTGACATGGGTGTGCTGTACAAATCATTCACTGATTATTTCCACCCAATATTCCTGTTGAACAAGCCCGGAGATCCTGAAGGCTTCAAAAAGATCGAGACTGCCCTCGGTTTCCTCAACACCTTCCTCGAGGGTCAAGAGTACGTGGCTGGCGATCATTTAACCATCGCTGATATTGCCATTGTGGCCACCGTTTCTACATTTGTGGCTGCCAATATTGAGCTCAAGAGCTACCCAAATGTGGCCCAGTGGTACGCCAATGCTGAGAAGGTAGTTCCTGGCTGGTTGGAAAATTTGGAAGGTATGGCCCAGATGAAGCAGTGGTACGATGCTAAAGTGAAAGACGTGAAAGCTTAAATTATTTTCCATTAAAACTATAAAGGTTTTTATTGATAAGCAGTTTGTGCAATAAATAATAATTACTAAATGATAATAATTTTTGATATGAAATCTCTGAGCTATTGCGATCCCTATAGTGGGCATGATCATGTTTTTAATACTATAGAAAAGGTTTTTTTTTCGGTTTGTCAAATTAACAAGTCAAGCGCAACTAATTTTTAGCTTTCAAAAACAAAAAATAATATTAATAACAAGAAATAAATAAATAAAACAAAATAATAATAAATGAATTGACCTCAATTTATTTTATGTTTCGAATCTATTATATAAATTTGAAAATTAGTTGAGTCATAAAATTCTCTAGATTCCATATCCCATATTTCAATAAAAACTCATCATGATTATGACTAAATAAAAGTATATATATATATATATATATTTCAGTTCTTCTTGGTTTATAATTGATAAAGTTAAGTTCTAATCTCCAACTATTAGTCCATTTCAGTCTCCGGTTCGACTAGCTTCTGCAGCTGGCGATATTTGTGAATGGCATTGCGTACGAATTCCGTGGTTCGTCTCACGCGTTCCGGCGTAATTTCCTCGGCTAGCATGCGACCCACATCTTGTGCCCCGCCAAATCGTAGGTAGTTAACGGCTTTGTTTGGAAACTCACAGATTTGAGTGTGCCGGCAGAGCGCGCTGGTGATGGCGCTGCCAAAGAGAATCACCCCCACGGCAGATAGCACGACGGCCACAATGCGGAAGAGCGTGGACATCAGTATGGAGGGCAAAAGCCGGGACGCAAAGGCTATCAAGGGATTCATGACAGGAGAGGGCGCAGCTGCCACAGTTGTTGTACTATCGGAAGCAACATCGGAGCTAACCTGATTGGCGGGCACTAAGAAGCCCTCGTAGCCGGTCTGCACCATAATGGGGCCCGGATACGGATAGATGCCGGGCGCCCCAGTTATGGGTGCGGGATAGCCCGCGGCAAGCGGTGGCAAACCTGCAGCACCGCCGTATTGACTCAGATACTGCTGAAAGGCCTCGGGCGTGATGAGGCCACCGGCATAGATGGATACCGGCTCATTGCTGCTGGCACTGGCCACATTATCACCCGGCTGTAATGGAATAATCTGAGACCTCTTCTACCTTCATTCAGTTGTTGCTGATTTCACTTACGACTGATGGTTCCTGCGCTTCGTTGTTTCCGGCAGAAGTTTGATTCGTGGAATTGGCACTGATCAGAGCTGCCTCGTTTGAGGCGATCGGCTCGATGTGTGTGTCTGGCAGCTTATCCGTCTCCTCTATGCTATTGACAGCTGTTGCAGGAGGGGCAGTCTCCAGTGCCGGCAGCGTGCACGCTTCATAGAACATCATGAGCAGCAGCAGCAGGCGCAGCGACATGTTGTATGGACTTCTGTAGCTCATCTCGATACACTTTCAGGACGACGACTGTTTATGGCACCTGTGCTGCTCAGCGCCTTTATAGGGTCCTGTTGGCCGGATCCATTTTGTGCATTGCGCGCTCAAGTGTCCCTCCTTTTTGCAACTAATGATAGATTTTCTGGGAATTTGAATGGTTAATGCCTTTGAATGTATTTTCCTTAATTTCCCAAAATAGGCATTGTCCTTGGCTTACCTGCATAAATGGCACCTCAGGTAACTATCCGGCGAGTGAGCTAGGTAAGTTTCGCTCTACACTGGCGGGCGAAAAAGAGTGCCTGGTTCAGGCTTAGCTAATTTCCTTAACATTTCAGATTATCTAATGCCCCACGACAGCGCGTGCCTGCTTTGAAGTGGCCAAGAAAGTGCTAAAAGTTAGCCTAACATGCATTGGGCCCACTTTCAGTTTCGCCCCCAGTTGCCGCCTGACCAAGTTTCCGAGCGCCATTCATTTGGAAAGACTGGCTGCAATCAATAACAAATAAAACACGTAGCTACAACAAATTATGTAGTGGCTTAATTTTAGAACGGAAAAAAGGAGCAGACAAGCGCACGATATCCTGACCGAGTTTCGGCAGCCGCACGCCCCCACAATCCGGCTACTGTCCTCACTGTGCCACTCGTCCTTTCACTCGCGCCAAACGCCCGTTCAGGTGAGCACACATTAGCCGAGGCGACGCGCCGCGACTGTCGTCCAGGTAACGTTCGCTATGAAAACTAAACGAAAATAGCAAAACAAAACAGACATGAAACAAAGCGCCAAGCAGCCGCCGATGACATGAAAGTTCTGAAAATTCAAACAGGCAGACAACGACAACGCGCGACGGCGACGGATACATTGAGGGACAGACACGTCCCCAAGTTAACATAAACTGATTATATCATCAACAAAGACATCATCAACGCAACAGCAGCACCACCACCAGCCAAAGGACCAGAGCTCCGCAGCGACGACAGCAGCGCTCGACACTCGCAGCCACACTGGGGAACTGCATAGACATCGACTCCGTGGCAGTGGTGCAACACAAGCTGGTGCATAGGATTGTGTGAGTATGCAGCTAGCTGGCAGCAATACCATTTCCCACATTCATAATTCAAAATTAATCGAGGTAGAGCAGCTTCAATTAATATTCCAGTAACACACTCAAGTGTGAATAAATTTCCACAGCTAAGCACTGGCATACCCTAAGATATTTCTGCATCTGATATTACTCAATCAATTAATTTCAGTATGTCGAATTTGTAATAATAAATAAAGTAAAGTCAAGGAAAGTAACCATTCTTAATTTGTCATAAGTTTTTCTTAGAAATATAACTTAACATATTTTAAAAACGTCTTAAAATCTAGATATTAAACCAAATTTTCTTTTCCCTACTTAAGCTTAGAAATCTTTTCAGTACATCACTTGGTTATTTTTAAATGTTTTTGATTATTTCTGTATTTATTCATAACATGATCTCAGCCCAATTATCACTGATTTTTATTGCTGAGCTTTGCTTGTTTACCAGACTCACTCGTATATAAATGAAAGCAAATTAGATATTATTAAAATAGCATATTGAGAAGAAATTTCGGTCGACCTTTAGCATTCACCTTGTCGAGACCTAATGTAAATCGCCAAGCAATTTACATTAATAAAATATTTGAAATCGATGAATTGATTTTCTGCTGTGCGAGCGACTAACTGGTGTCCTGTCGTGTCCTTGTCCAATTTAGAAAGCACTTTCAGTTGATACCCATGAATCGAACCGAACAAATTGTAACCGAGTTCGTCTACTTTCTAATTGTCAGAGGTGGCAAAATGTCGACGCCAGTGCTGTACTATCTACCTCCGAGTCCGCCCTGTCGCAGTATTCTGCTGCTGGCCAAAATGCTCGATCTGAACTTCGAGCTAAAGATTGTCAACATACTGGAGGGGGAGCAGCTGAAGCCCGAATTCGTGGCCATGAATCCACAGCACTGTGTGCCCACCATGAACGACGAGGGATTGGTGCTGTGGGAAAGGTGACAAATGCTACAAAAGAATATCTGAATCACAACAAATATTTAGTGTTAATCGTTCATTGTAGTCGCGCTATACTCTCATATTTGGTTGCCGCCTACGCCAAGACGGACGAGCTGTACCCCACAGATATACGAGTGCGAGCTCTCGTGGATCAGCGGTTACACTTTGACCTGGGCACTCTCTATCAGCGCCTCACCGACTTCTATGTGAGTGGCTGACAGCAAAAAAGTCAACATTTAATAAAATAAACGTACTTCCCGCGCAGTTTCCCACAATGTTCATCGGCGCCCCCCTGGACGAGGGAAAACGAGCCAAGCTGACCGAAGCTGTAGGCTGGCTGAATTCAATACTCGAAGGTCGCGAATTCGCAGCTGCAGATCATTTCACCATTGCGGATTTGACGCTTCTTGTTACTGTCTCCCAGCTGGAGGCCTTCGAATTCGAGCTTAAGATCTACAAGCATGTCAAGCAATGGCTGGAACGATGCAAGCAGCACATGGCGCCCTACGACTACGAAGAACTCAATGCCAGCAAAGCGGCTATGTTGGCCGACATGTTCAAGGCTAAGATGAAACAAACAGGTGGCACGTAATCATATAATATTCCTAAATATAATTTAGTTTTTAATGTGTGTGTGTGTATGTTAAAGTTATATTAAATAAATTTTTAGGTTTTGGCTTTCAATGAATAATGAAAGAAATTTTGTTATATGCGTATAGATAATGTATGAATGTAGATATATATATATATATAGATATAAATACCTACCTCTATTATCATTCAATTTGGTCTTATGCTGTTTGGTATGCCGCATCAAACTAAATTTAGTTAAGCTAACCTCTAAATGGGTGAACCTCGGGGTCAATAAAATGGCTTAGAACTCTTTTGAAAAGCAGCTGTGAGCGCGTAGATAACTGCCAATCACAGAAAAATGAAGTCCACTTATAAATAGCTTACCAAACTCGGCTGGAGGTGCCACAGGCGTGGGCTGTGGCAGAAACTAACGATTGGCTCTTGCGCCACCTGCAGCTGTGGGTGGGACAGCTTCATAAAAACCTCAACTTACATTTAATGATACGAAAAAAGGCAGGTGAACTGGCCAGCGGGGTCAGGGGCTGTGGGGCAACTGGGAAGCTGTGCAGCTGGGGTGGCGCCTAGCTATTTTTAAAGCACACACAAGCTGCCGCAGGACGCTGAGCCACTGACAGGATATTATCGCGATGCTCGTCACTCGGCACATAGCAGTTTCATTTTGGCCGCTGGAGATGGCGGCCGCTTGGTTAACGTTGGTGTTGGCACTGATTTCGGTGGTCAATGGTCAACGGACTGCTGGCAGTAAGCAGGCGCAGCTGTGGCTAGGTAAGTCGCGTCGGCATAGAGCTGCATTCGAATGCATTATTGATGAGTGTCCATGCACAGATTGCAGCTGCCTGCACGCCAACGAGCGCAACGCGACACAATGGGGCAGCGTTAGCATTAATGCCAGCCATGCGCTGGGCGCCAAAAACAACTGCCTGATGATCTTCATTGGCGGCATGGCCGACGAGCTGGTGGCCTTTCAGCTGCAGCAGCTGCAGCTGCGACCCGGGTGAGTAGCAACGCTTCCGGCCGTAGTAAGCCAGCCGTACAGTCGCTGTCGTCCGTCGGCTGCCACCCACTGTGGCTGTGGCATGCCGTATCCAAATCGATCAGAGATCTGGATCTGTCAGCCATATAGGCAGCTGCGCGACAGCCATCAAAATGCGTCGACCATCGAGGAAATATGCGAATGCAATGTAATTAAAATACCTTCTGAAGGCCACCATGGCTGGGGGGTCCGTGGAGCCGTGCTCGGCACGCCTGGTTATTTATATAAATGTTCGCAAATTTGTGTCAATTTTTATGAAATTTGCAGCTATTTTAGCTGCATGAAAATAACCCATGAAAAAAAAAAAAAAAAAAAAACAAGAGGAAGAAATTATTAAACAAATTTCGAAATCGATTTGTCAATAAAATTGCTCAGCACCGGCGCCACAAATTTCAGTGGAGCTTGGGCAGAGCGTTGGACACAACGTTGGCCGCTGTCGTAGCGACCAGATTTATTGGTGTAAAAGTGAAAAACCGCTGGCAAAACGCTCGCAAATCGCGTGTAAATCGCTTGTGAAACGTTTGTGAATCGCTTGTGAATAGTTTGTGAGTCGCGCAGCTCAAAATGTCTATGGATCCGGCTGTTTCACTGGAGGATCTGGAACGCGTGAGTGAATATAATGTAGTGTACGCCCTGATTTCTAGTATCCGTGTCCCTCCATTTCTGGCCAGCGACGTCGCCGGGCCAGCTCTGCGCGCAAAGCATCGCAGACGCCACAGCCACCGCCGCAGCTGGCAACCGACTCGGAGGCAATGGCCGTCATCAACGAGATATTCAATCCCAGGCTCAAGCTGCCAGAGAGCACTGGCCATTACACACTGCCCGAGGAGCTGACAGCCGATGATCATGTGTCGCCGCAGGACTTGGACATTGCCAAGCTGGCCGAATTGAAGGAAGTAAGTGTTGGTTGAATGGAAAGCCCCAAATATGCCTGATCGGCCGATTTTCAAAAGGTGTTCACGCTATTCGACACGAACTGTGACGGGCTGATATCGAAAGATGATCTGCGATTCACCTACACGGCCCTCGGCAATGAGCCCAACGAGCAGCTGCTGGAACAAATGATGTCGGAGGCACAGGATCCCTTGGACTATGAGGCCTTTGTACAGCTGATGTGCCGTCGCACCATAGAGCTGGATCCGGAGGAGGTCCTGCTGGAGGCCTGGAGCAAATGGGACGATCACGGCACGGGCATGATTGATGAAAGAAAGTGGGTGCAATGCTCCAAATGCCCATGTCGTGTGCCTAATTAAAACGCTTTCCCACCCAATAGAATCTACGAGGAGCTAACCAACTACGGCGATAAAATGACCATCAGCGAGGCAAAGGAGGCGCTCAGCCATGCGCCTATGGCCAAGCCCAAAACCCTCGAGGAACCGCCCATGATTGATTATCCCGCATTCTGTCGCATGCTTGGGGGAATGCGTAAACGCAAAAATAAGTAAAGCGAAGATAAAGAGAAAATGCTGGAGCTGGCAACAGTGGGATATAATAAATAAACTCAAGAATTTTCCTAAATTTCATCATGTTTCTATAGCATAGTTATCTCATTTTATTGTCAAAACTTTATTGAATTGCTATTTTGTTTTGTTTTGTGTAGATGCTGTGTAGTAGCTAACAATTTTGTGATCCTTATAAACTGATATTATATTATAATATTTTTTAGCAGCTTGTAGACTTTATTTTTGTTTTGCCCTGAAAAGTAGAAACATAATAAATTTGCGAACGTAATTGAAACGTTTGCATATAGCCAAGTATTTCTGCTATTTTCTCTATTGCTGGAGAAGAATGTTTCAGGTTTTAAAAATTAAATATGAAAATCTTTGGCATTTGGCATTTTTACACTTTATTTCGATTGCTTAAATGTCTGCTTCATTCTTAACTTAAATTTTACTGAAAATGTATTTTTTTATTAAAAATTTTTCTATTCTGCGTTTCTATAAATATATGGGTTTAATATGGTATGCTTTAATTGTAGCATAAAATTAAAAGAAAAAATATATTACAATAACGTACAGCAATATAATGCTAAAATTTAAATAGAAATAATTGGAACTAAACAAAAGATTCTTACCTCTATACTCAACCTATAGATCGTTTATTCTTTTTGCATAAAATACTCAGCTAGCGTTAAACACAAAACTTTACCAAATATTAATTATTACATTTTATTTTTATTATTTTTAATTTTTTCCATATGTTATTATTATTATTATTATTATTATTATTATTATTATTATTATTATTTATTTTTATTTTTATTTTATTTTTTTTTTATTTTATTTATTTTTTTTTGTATACGCTTCGACTAGTTTTATGAAAAGTCCTACACTGATCCTAATTCTAACTACAGCATCTCTTACCGTTGTTTCTATTCACTCCCCATAGTCTTTTAAGAACATACTTGAACATACTTGTTGTTGTAGCATCTGTCGTGCGGCTTCTGTGTTCACCTTAACGCCAACTTTTGTTAGACTTTTTATCAAAATAAATGATGTAGAACCAAGCGAATGGCAGTGCAACATTTTATTTAATGGCAGCTCGCTGGTCGCTTGCCTATTTTTAGGCTTGACCAACGAACCGGCCAAGCGGCCAATAAATTTTCAACATCATTTGATTCCGGCCATTTGTGTGGCACAAATTCTGCCATATGATTAGCGCTGTGCGGCAATTCTTGATATGCAATTTTTGTGACAGCTGCTTGGACACCGTCGAGGTCTTTCCGTATCTGAGGGAGCCCGTCATCGAGAACTCAACGCTGGCGTCGTACACTTGGTGCCAGCACAGTGCGACGGCTCGCAATGCCACGCCCATATACAGTGGCGGAAGGCTGCTGGGACTGAGAGTTAGCTTTCAGCAGCCGCCCACAAGGCTGAGCGACTGGACCTTGAATCTGACGGCGAGCTATCGATTCCTTAAGCAAGGTGAGCAAATGTGAAATCGATTAATAAATTTACGAATTTATGTTCACCTCGTTCGTTCCACGCCTGAGTGCAGAGCTCTTCAAGACGAACGGTCGACTGGTGCCGCACAGCTTCTGCGATTTCTATTTCTTTGCCAGCACCGGAATCGAGGGGAATCTGGGCGAGGGCTACTTCCACTCGCCGCGCTTTCCGGCCAACTATCCGGCGCACATCAAGTGCGCGTACAAGTTCATTGGCCGCCCGGACAGCCGTGTAGAGCTGCTATTCGAGGAGCTGCAGCTGCCGCCAGTGGTCAGCGGCGGCTGTCAACTGGACGCACTGACCATCTTCGATGCGGAGTCGGCGCACATGAATGCCGTGATAGATGTGATCTGCGCCCCGTGCCCCACGCGCCGCATACTGAGCAGCGGACCCGATCTGCTGCTAGAGTTTAATGCCAGCTCGAATCGCACAGCCAAAGGCTTTCGTGGTAAATACAAGTTTGTGCCCAATGAGCAGCAGGCGCTGGCTGTGCCGCCAATCCTGGAGGCAGCCAGCATAGCGATAAAGCAGACGCCCGCCAAGACGAACAGTGTTCAAGTGGAGGGCGGCGAGAAAGAGGGGAAGGATGCGCGGCCCGGACATAGAAATCGTAAGTTGGCGCCCCATAAATTAGCCATAGATTGTAGTTATCCCGATTCTGACTCATGCCACACGGACTCAATCGAATTATGTTAATCGCTAACCGCAAGCAAATGGCGGCAAACTTCTTCCTCCGGCCTCGTAATTGCCGCAAAATGCTGCCAGCTTCCGCCTGTCGGTCTGGCTGCTGGCAGCGGATGTGACCAATTGACTTGCACGGGTGGGTGGGTGCCAGTCGCTGAGCCACTTCAAGGCTCAGTCTGCTTCAATCTGTCGATAAGTTCAAATGGTGCACTCGGCGCTGCTGACAGCTCTTTATTTGATGGCCGCCATTTGGCAGACGTCGCCCAAGTTATCCTGCGCTGGAGTTGCTAGAGGCAGTGAGTGCATATTAAGCCAGCTATTTATTGAACTAGATCTACACATGTACAAAAACCTAAAATCTAGAATACAAATTTAAGCAGCGACCACAAAATGGCAGCAGCTCCACTGCAAACGATGAGCTGCAGCGCCCGATGG